GCCTTCTCAGCAAATGGAAGCAGCTTCACCCGCATGTCTATTCTGAGTAGGACCCGTTTTCAGCTGTGACCTTCAGGGAGAAAACAGGTGAAAACAGGGGGGTTGCCTATATGGTGCCTTTGTGCAAATTTTAAAAACAAGATGTCTCCTCCTGGTGTTCACATCTTGGCAGCAATAGAGTAAGCATAGGTTGGAGTTCAGTCTGGTTGGCTTTGCAGGCTCCACAGTGTGTACAATTTGTACAACTCTCAGCTGTCTAACTAGTAATGACAGAAGCAGATTTAACAGATGCCAGCTCTAAACACATTTGAATGACAAAGCCAACCTGGATCTCCTTTTTGGATTCTTGTCTTTGGGACTATAGAAGCTTCCAGTGTTCTGGCAATCTCTAGAAAGAAGGGAAAGACTCTAAGGGCAGAGAGAGTAAAACTTTATGCAAGTAAGACAGTAGGTGCTTGAGCAATCCATTGGACATAAAGGAAGCTTAGCCACAGTTGTCCCCAAATTATGGAGATATTCCTGCAACTTAGACTACTGCTCGCTGCATGCTGTTCTGATTTCCATGTCTTCTATGTAGTAGGAACCAGGGATTCTCCTGGTCAGGCATAAGTTATTGTGGTTTACATATTAGCAAGAGGACTTATGGTTTATACTTGTGAACTTGGACAGTGTGAGTCAGTTTCCCAGCATTGGGTCAGTTCTGGGTTAGTGACCAAGTAAATACCAGTTGGAAAACAGGCTTTAACCTGGGCAATGGAAGTAACATAGAGCTAAATTCAGGTGCAGAGAGCAAGAGTGCCCTGTTGAATTAACAACGTCTCACATAACTAGGAGTGCGTCCCTGCCACTCCTTTGCCAACCTTGGGCCACATCAAACTTTTGCAAATGCCTGTTTTTGTCCTGCCCTCCCTTTTCCATAGGGCCCATGGCCGCTCTCTTGCACTTTCCTCACACACTATTGCTGCTGTGTTATGCTAACCAGAAGCTGTGTCGGAGCAGGGACCCTGCATATTTTCATGTCCATCTTTCCCATCACATATCTCACCACATAATGACTGCCTGTCCTCAGGAGGGACTTAATAAAAATGAGTGACTAACTGTCCAAGTTTGCCTGGGACTGAGCTGTACGTCTTGGTAAGTGGAACTTTCGGTGGTAAAACTGAGACAGTCCTGGGCAAACTGGAAGAGTTGGCTACCCTAAGACTTAGTGTGGTTCAAGGTTAAGTAGCAGGTGAGATGGAGGCAAAAATGTGTGGATTCTTTTCCTGAGAGAGACTCAACTATAAAGACAAGACAGAATACTATCTAGAAAAGGGGAAACAGGGTTGAGTTTTTCAGCTTTCTATCCCCTCTCTTTTTTATTTTTAAACCATTTTAAAGCCTTATTTCTAGGATGAGAGGAAACATGAGGATGAACCTGGAGATAGAGGAGACTTAGGACCCCTGAAGGAGCAGCATCTTGTCCTTACAAAGCGGGGCTGGGAAATGGGGGGGGGGGGGGGGAGGAGCAATTATAACAGGTGATCTCCATATCGTCAGGATGTGGTATGAGGAAAGGAAGAGAGTGGAGGCTTGAATGGAGATGAGAAAAGGTTTGGAACAACCATTCGAGGGTGCAGGAAGACACTAACACACTCTCCAGGCACCAAAGAATGCCCAGCTGAATTGGGGAATTGTGACTATGCAACATACAGTGTCATTACTGACAATGCTGAGATCCCCTGCCTGTCCAATCTAATACAATTACAATCCTATTACAACACATTATTGGTCTTGAAAAAATATCTACCATTGCACTTAAAAAGAATGGTCAAGGGGCAATGGTCAATGGGCTAAACAAGAGATGCAAATACTTTCTAACAGGCTGCAGTAGAAAATGACATAAGAGAGGAAGCAACTGTATGTTGAGCCCTTGGTAGGACTGTTATTAATGGGCACTACTTATTGTACTGTGGAAGGTGTCATGGTCAGACACACATGTGCCCAGACTGAAAGGCAATGTGGGGAGAAGAAGAAACGGGGATGGGCCCACTGGGGGGCTGCACAGGGGCCAAACACACATTCTTGCCATAGTGGATAGCGGGGTGGTTTGGAGCCTTGGCCTCCTGGGACTAGAACTACTCTCTCCCTCTTCCTGGGAATTTATACATACCCTATTCCAACTCCCATGATAACCATTTGTGATAGTTGCCAATTTTACCAATGGAAAGACTGCGTTTTAACACAGCTAAATAATTGGTCCATGGCTGGTGAATTAGCAGAGATGAGATGTAGCTAAGTGGATTGACTTAGCCCCTCCTCTAGTCTTTCTTACTTTTTACCTATAGAGTAAGGATACTAACAATACCTACCCACAAGTCTTAGTAGGAATTAAATGAGATTATTTATGTGAGTGTTCTAGGCACCCTTATATATTCTTCCAGCATAGAAGAATAGTGGTTCTCAACTAGCAGTGACCTCTAGGGAACATGTGGTGATGAAGATTTTTTAAATTTATTTATTTATTTATTTATTTATTTATTTATTTATTTTTGTCACAACTAGGGGAGTGTTATTGGTTTCTAGCAGGTAGAGGCCTGAGATGCTGCTAAACATTTCACTATGCACAGGACAATCCCCACGGCAAAGAATTTATCCTGCCCAAAAAGTCAATACTGGTGAGGTTGAGAAGCCCTATGGTACATAATGCAGGGGACTGGGAACCATATACACTAACATAACACAATAGAGCCTCGCAAGTAACAGCCAAGTCGTGGTGTTAAGACACTTGTAGATCTGGATGCTGAACCCACCAGTTACTTTTAGCAAGTTATTTAACCTGTCTGAGCCTCACTTTCCAAATGGGAATAATAATAGCACCTACTTCACAGGATTGTCAAGAGACTCAGTGGGCTGGTGCTTAGCTCAGTGCTGGCACATGAAAGCAGTGCTTTCATCAAGGTACCTCTCTCCCAGCAGCAAGTAAGCACCTGGGAGAGAGATACCTTGTTTTAGTAAACCAGGGAAGAAGAGGAAATTAAGGAACATTGCTGTGACACTATAGCCTTCATAACGGCCATAGGTTATTGTTCTTCTACTATGCAATTCTATCCTGGATGGTACTTATCACCAACTAACGCTGATAAAATTAAATGATTGTTGAACAATATTCTGCTAACACAATTGAGTTAATTAGTTTCACCGCTTTGGGAGAAATTCTACAGACACCAATTTTCTGGAGTCACAAAAGTTCTTTTCATCGTTAATAAGACTCATTGCTATATTACCCTCTGGTGCTTTCTTAAATGTTTTATTCAAAAGGAAGTGATTTAGTGTTGACATTTTAAGTCGTATGCTATGGCTTGATAAGCATTTGCTTCCCTACCCCCACCCCTCCTCCCACATTCCCTTCTGAAAATATTGCTGTGTGTAATGTTTTGATGTGTGTACACATTGACCTGCATTTTAAAATCTCCTGCAAGAGCATGGAGGTTTTGACTTTCTCAGATGTAGATATTCTTTTAATCCTATCTTGGCTATGTTGGACAGAGGCAGCTCTCCTTTGCAACACAACACGCAACATCTTATATTTTCTGGGTGTTGGTCACTTGGGGCATTTTCATCATCAGGACTCCCCCTTTCCTCTCCAGCTGCTCACTTCCCACCCAGTCTTTCCTCCTCTGCCCTCAGCCATCCTGGTCACGCTGTGTGTACACTTCGTGGCTGGGTAAAAAATGTCTGGCTTTTCCCAAATCTCTCAGATAACAGATCAGCCTCCTCACTGGGGAGTGGGGGAGTGGAGGGACCTTCAGATCCCATTCATCAAACCTGTTTTTTTAGGGCACTTCACACCCTTCACCATTCCTTCCACTGGGGAGAGTGTGGGTAGCGGGAGTGAGGAAGCACAGGGAGGGAGAAAGGAGCAGAGGGAAGAATGGAGCAAGAAAGCGGGAGGGAGGGCACAGGACTTATAAAGAAAAAGGCAATCAGCAGGCAAATAGAGGGGCCAAAAAAGAGCAAGAGACTTGGAATTCTAATGGCTTCCACATCAGCCCAAGGAACCAATCAAGCACTGCAGCGGCTTCAAGGCAAGTTATGTATTTCCTGTCTGAGCTCCCCAGCCAACTGAAGTGAGAAGTGGAGGGACAGGGTCAGCCTCACGCTCTCTGATAAGGAAATTTGGATGCAAAGAGTTTATAACTTGCCAGGGATGCCCCTCTCAGAGTGGTTGAAGAATGGAAGAAGGAAAGGAGAGAGAAATGGATCCCAGGTTTGCCCAACTGAAGCCTCTTATATAAGGTTTGCAAGAAAAGCTGAGAGAAACAAAATCAGAGAGAGCAATGAAAAGCCAGAGAAGGAAAGAGAGGAAGGACACTGATTTGAGTGGAAAAGAAAGATAAAGATACGGAAAAGGGAGGAGAAAAGCTTAAGAGGAAGAGTGACAGAGAAGAGACTCAACCTCAAGGACCAGCCCAAGGGAGGTCATCGGAGGACCACTAGTGGCCTCCTGTCCTTAATAACCCTAACGAGGTAGAGACCACACGGAAGCCATCCCAAATCCATAACTGTAACCCTCCGCTCCAATCTTTCCAATATAGGCTTCCATCCATGGTGCACTCAGGAGAGGAAGGGAGAGGACCAGGGCACCTTTTGGAAGGGGCAACTACACTCACACACACTGACCTTTTGCTGGAAAGCTGGAGTGGGGACAGGAGGCTAAGGAAACCACCTCCTGCCCTTTCTCCATCCCCACTCCATGACCCAAACCCTGTTTTGGTGTCTTGGCTCATCTGTCCCCGTTAGAACCTGCCAACGGCTTTCTGCTTTTTTTTTTTTTTTTTTTATACTTGAGATTGTGATTAAAACAATGCCCAACTCCTCTTCATCTCTTTTTCGCGTTTCTTTTTATTAATTGAAGCTTTTAATTCCGTTTCATCTCCACGTGCATTTTCCAATTGTCCTTTCGTGTTGGGAGGAGTCTCCACAGCAGTCTCTCACGGGAGGCAGGTACCTCACCTCCGTCAGTCCCGGGGCGCTCCCGCCTCCCCCGGGTCCGCTTCCCAAACCCCGTCGGGTCTCCAAAGGCTGGGGTAAGAGGTGCGCCCGTAGCCCGCGCACAGGTCGTAGGACACCTGGCGGGGCGGCGGTGGGGGCAGGACGCAGTCTGAGAAGAAGGGGCCAAAAGCGGCCAGGGGGCCCGGCCCGTCCTCCCCGCCGGGGGAGGGCACTGCGGCGGGGTACAGGAGGCGTAAGGGCTCGGTCAAGGTTGAGCCGCCACGGGGGGCCGCCAGGGACGGCTTCTTGGCCGGGGCACAGGCCTGGGCGCTCCAGGGCTCGGGGTACGGGAGGCTTGTCCCCATCGCTGGCGGCGGCGGCTCAAAAAGGCCGGGCTCCAGCTCCAGGGGTCCCCGCAGACCCGTGGTGCCGGCGGGGAACGCATCCAGAGGCTCCGCGGCTGCGAGCAGGACGCCCGCCTCGGAGCCCACGCTGTAATCGGGCCCCAGCAGCTCGAAGAACTCCAGGGTCTCGGGGGGACCCTTCTCCAGGTCGCACAGGTTCACGCCGCTGCACCCCGACGGGCCGCACCCGCCGCCGCCGCCGCCGCCGCCGCCGCCCGTCCGGGACGGCTCGGTGAAGAAGGAGGGGGGCAGGTTGCGGGCGCGCAGCGGCGGGACCTTCCGGGCGCCGGGGACCGCCGTGCCCCCCACGGGGCCGAGCGCATCCCCTCCCGCACCCCCTGAGCCCGCTCCGGCGAGCCCGGCTGGGGGCGCGGTCCCCGAACCCCCGGCGGCGGATCCGGCGCCCTCGGGGACGTGGCGCAGCGAGTCGAAGAGCGCAGCCAGGCTCTGGCTCTGCAGGCTGGCGGCCGCGGCCTGCGAGGAGACGTCCCGCCGGGGGCCCGCCTTGCCCGGGGCCGGGGCCGCTGCAGTCTGCGCGCTGGGGGCGCCGAGCGCCCGCCTGGCCGGGGTGTCAGCTGCGGCGGCGGCGCCCGGGGAGGGCGGGCCGGGGGGCGCGGCGCCCATCAGGCCGCTGCAGCGCTTGATCTGCTTCTGCAGATACTTGCGGTGGTTCACCTTCCGCCTGGACTTGCCCGGCTTGTCCAGGGCCAGCTTGATGTTGCTGGACGCCGAGTCGATGAAGCTGAGCAGGTCGCGGGTGGCCTCGCGCGCGTCCCCGCCCTCGGGGGGGCCCGCCAGCAGTGCGCCCGCCGGCATCCCGGGCTCATCGTCCTCGAAGCAGCAGCCCTTGTCCAGGGCTCCGAAGGCGCCCCCCAGCCCGTCCGGGGAGCCCCCGAAGCCGAAGGGGACGAAGGGGTGCGTGCTGAGCAGCGCCGCCTGCACCGCCATCGCCTCGTTTCCCCCGTGCGCCCTCGCCCAGCTCCCGCGGGCTGCCCAGGCCCGGATCCCGGACCCCGGATCCAGTCCCGGCTTGGCCTCCTAGCTCCGAGCCGGCTCGCTGCTCGTCCTCCCGGGGGAGCTCATTAGATCTTGTAAGGGAGGGACACAGGGAGGGCGGGAGGCGACCGCCCCAGTGGCCAGTGGCGGAGGGGAGGGGCTTACTGAGCCGGCTGGAGGGGGGGGGGGTCCGCTTTTCTAATTTTCTGGCCTTTCTCAAGCTCATCGCTTTAACCCTTTCGTTTCCCTTCGCCCCGCGGCTTTCTGGCTTTCTCTGGGCTAGTTCCCACCGCAGGAGGAGGTGAGGATGGGACCGCCCCTCGGAAGACCTGGATTTCACTCCCAGCCCTGGCCACAAAAGCTCCAGCTACTGGGCACTTGCTAATGCCCTGTGATGTCCATCCTTTGCCTCATTTAATCTTTGAGCAATAACCCCGTGGAGTACACGTGATCACCGCCAGCTAGCAAAAAAGAAACTGAGCCTTGGAGAGTTTCAGGGAGTTGGCCAAAGCCATATCCAGTCTAATCTGAACCCAGAGCCATTCTAAGCCCTAGACAAAACCTGTGGTCTCTCTTGGCCTTGTTTTATTCATCTGTAAATTGGGGGAAGGACCATGAGTCTCTTCAAACTCTAGCCTTGATGCTAAGATTCTAACTGGTGTTTACACAGACTCTCAATTATAGTGCTCTTTCTTCTACTCATTGATTGTCAGAAGTAATAATTAATGTATTATTAATACTTTGCTCCTTTTTTATTAGTAGATAGCAGAAGGCAAGGAAGAAAGGAGTTGATCCCACTAAGCCAGGTGGTGCTTGAGAAAGACTCTGTGTGTGTATAAAACTCTCAGCATGTTCGAAAAAAATATGGGTTGGAATCTGTAAGTCACACCATTTAGGTTGTCCTTTTGGAACTTCTGTTGCATTTCAAGAATCACCTTGAAATTCGGACCCAATTTCACCTGGGCAATCCTCTTGGGATTAGAGAAAATGAACAATATGGTAAAATGTGGAAGATGATTCAGAAAAGACTTGGATTCTGGTCTTAGACCAACCACTCAGTAGCTCTTGACTTGGGTTGAAATCCTTGCTCTGATAAGGATGGATTTGGGCAAACAAGTGGACTTCTTTCTGACTTAACTTATTCATGTAAAATGGAGGTAAGGTTGCCCACCGCACAGGGCACTTGTGATATTTAAAAGAAACATGCTGTGGAAAAATTCTTATCTGTTGACTATTCCATAGCCCGCGATGAGTATTTTGCCTTTATTTTTCTAAAACACAAAAAAAGTTACTTTCTTCCCTTACATGTCTTCTCTATCACATCGTGCTCATGAGGATTAAATGAGATCATATATATGAAGACACTCTTTGTGTTCTCTAAATAGGTTTTTGTAGGTTTGGTACAGAGTCTGCATGGGAGAGATATAAACTATCTCTTTCAAAACTTTTTTCTTTAAGACCCATTTTTTTTTTTCAGAATATAATAAAAACCATTAGTGAGCACCCTGAAGGCACAACCTTACCACAGAAGAGAGGATGAATGACTGAAACCAGTTTGGCTCAGTGGATAGAGCATCGGCCTGCGGACTGAAAGTTCCCAGGTTTGATTCTGGTCAAGGACATGTACCTTGGTTGGGATGTGCAAGAGATAGCTGATGGATGATTCTCTCTCATCGATGTTTCTAACTCTCTATCCCTCTCTGTTAAAAATCAATAATATATATATATATATATATATATATATATATATATATATATATATTTTTTTTTTTTTTTTTTTTTTTTTTTTTTTTTTAAAGAAGAGAGGATGGATGAACACTCTCAATTTAGGAGATGAAGTAGACACTTCTCAAGCCCTCATAGCTTCAACAAACTAATCTTTAAATTCACATTGGCTCAATCATATGTATTTTTCATTTGGATTTATACACACAGGATTTTGTCCTTTGTGTTTGAACTATTTCATTCTTGGTGACATTTGCACTCAGAAAAATTATGTGGGCCTGACCTTGAATTGTACTTCTCACCCCTCAGATGTGAATGTCAGCTCCTCCCTCCCCTTCCAGACAGGACCATTCCGTAGAGCTCAGGGTCTGGCAGCCAAGAACATTGACTCTTTTTTTTTTTTTTTTTTTTTTTTTAACCTTCTTTTAACTGATCAGCTCTTGCAAAATCCCAAAACAGATTTCATGGGAAGATACATTTAATTGACATCTTTAGTCTGAAATACCTTTCTTAATACCCAAAGAGTTATTAAGCCCCAATATAATCATATTCAAAATCAATGGAATATGGAAAGATTCATATGTAAAAATCTCTAAATTTCCAGATCATGTTCTAAGCAACAAAATGGATTTGGTGTTAGATTAAGTGAGGCTCCAACTCTGGCCTGCCATTTGCTAGATGAGTGCCCTTGTTTAAGTCAGTTCATCCTCCTAAGACTCAGTTTCCTCATCTGAAAAATGGGAATAGTCATAACTGTTCTCAGAATCTTTGTGGGAATTACATGACACAACAGGCAAATAATGCCTCTGAATCTTCTTTATTGGTACAATGGAGATCATCCCAACACTTCAAAATTATTTTGAAATGATATATATGAAAGCTCCTGGCACAAAATAGTCTCCACAAACGTCCGTGCTTTTAATTCCTTAGACACCACCCATTCCTTACCAACACTCCCCCTATAAAATCAGCATCAATTGTTTTTTCCCCCAACAAAATGAGTCACTATTTTCAGATGCAAGAGAGCAGTAATACTTGCCAGTTATAGATACTTAGGAAAAGGCAGTGTGAGAGGGTGATGAAATTAGAGCCAGATATTGAGACTGAAGAGCAGTCTAACCCTTTATTATCCAACTGACTATAGAAAAGTCACTTAATCCTCTAGACTCAATGTTCTCATCTAGAAAATGGGAATAAAAGTGAGTGTGAGTGTAGTTGACTAGGCTATTGTGAAAATCAATGAGATAATGGAGTGAGAGTTCTTTGTCAATCATAAAGGTCCATACAGAAATATCAGGATTTTATGGCATATAAGTTCTGTAGCCTGATTCACAAAATAGAATTTTTACACATAAAATATGCATCCAGTCACTCATTCATTCAACTGAAAGATATCGACACCAATGAGGTGCTCAGCACTGTGCTCATATGATAAATTCAGAGATCAGAAGCCATGATTTCCACCCTTTCTGGTGGAAAGACAGATCTGCAATCAAACCACTATCATGTAATATGATGCTTTAAATGGAAGTAAATTAAAGTTACAATCATTGAGTGAATAAAAGTTCCCAGATTCGATTCTGGAGATCATCCCAACACTTCAGCACAGAAAACTTGGGGAAGACTGCTACACAGGTAGTAATTGAGCTAAGACTTTGTGCCAAGAAAAGAAGCAATATCTCTGGGAGCAGTCTGGGCAGAGGCATGGTCATATCAAAGCATTGGTGTTTATGGACACTACAGATAATAAGGCAACAACAAAAATGGCTTGAAATAGCTCTATACCTACAACCAAAATAAATCCTTGAAGTTTCCAATATCTAACTAAATTGTACATGTAGATCCCAGCTCATGGTCTCAATTGCTTTCTTCCTTGATCTTTCCTTTAAGGAAGAACTCTGTATGGGATGAAATTCGTTTCAACCAAGTCAGTGGCTGGCTCCTGCCAGAGCCACCAGCCCCTCCTCCTATACCCAGAGTGAGCACACTCTCTTGAGTGGTTTTGACATCAATACATTTCACTTCCTCTTAGGCAGAAGGAGCCCGCTTCAGGCTGCACTAAGGGCCTCTCTGCAGAGCTCCAAACTAGAGCTCTTTTGCTCCAGTGATACCTAATGCTGAGCAAGTGGGATTAGTCTCCTTGGGAACCGAGCCCCCGGGGGCTCAAGCGTTGAACTCGCCCCAAACTGTTTGGGAGAATTGAGATTTCACATTGTTCTTTTACACTTGGATTTCAGGACATTACCTAGACAAAAGCCCACCTGAGAGCTGCCTCCTTTCTTGTGGGTAAATATAGCAGCGGGATCAAAAGCTGACTTACTTATTTTGTTTTCCTCTTTGTAACTTTAATCATATTCCCTGCAGGACAAGCTCAGTCCTCAGAGATGTCAGGAATGCACATGCTTATAGAGAGAAATAATTAGGCATCTTTTTTTTTTCTCTCTCTCTCTCTCACTCTCTCTCCCCATACCAATTTCCTGTCACTCACTAGTTTGAAGCCTCAAATAAAACTTATCAATCTCAAATAAAACTTATCAATTCCTCCACACAATTTATAAAGTATCAATTTCATTAAAAATGTGTTCTTACAAAATTTATACCTCCCAAAAAAAGTATCTCTTGTTTTTGTTTTATTTGTTTTTAATTTTCTCATACTTTCCTCCTGCAAACCACATCCTACTAACACTAGATCTTATTTTTCATATTAAAATATTAGATGTTAATCTGGTCTGCTATAGTTGCATTACAAACTACACCCAAATAGAATGGCTTAAAACAATAACTTTTATTACAACTCACAATGTTATTGGTCAGTTATTGGAGCAATGCCTGGATGAGTGGATAAATTACTATCAAAGAAATAAAATTTTTTTAAAAAGTGCAGAACTGAATGACTCTACAAACTGAAGGATTTATGGTCAAATACATAAGGAAATCTATTATTCCCATTCATTTTTCTTGGAGACATTGATTCCTTCCTAGGGATTCTCCATCGCCTGTTCAGTAAATGTGAATTGTCACTGGGCCTGCTATATACTATTGTTGTGATACTTCTCTTGGCCATTATCCAGGGAATTATCTTTGCTTCTCTTCCATGATGTTTCTTTGGGTACCCCATTTTTAAAAAAATATTTTCTTCATTATTCAGTGGGTCTAGAAGCATTTCCAGATTGAAAGAACCCATAAATATCTAGCAAACTTAATTTTTTTTAAAAGATCCACAACAC